GCTGACAGGAATACAGAAGCACCTGTAGCTATCGGATTAGTGTGGACTGTAAGATGCTGGCAGGAGCAGGTGAGCTGCCTGACAACAAAGACTTTGTTTAGACTTCAACATAGGTGCAGAGGAAGATTTTCTTCATAGGTCTTTGGTTTTTTTCCAGTCTGTTTCAGTGTTAGTGTTTTGTTTGGTCTGGTAGATCATCCAGGAAACCTACCCCATGGTCTGAAGTCCTGGCATCAGAGCCTTGGGTTCAAGTCCTGACTCAGCCAAATTCTTGCCTTGAACACACTGCCTAAATTGTCCCACTCTGAATTTCCTCATTAAGCAGAATGAATATAGTATTATTATGTTCTCTCTTCATATAAAAAAAAATTTAGGTTGGAGGTTGGTAGATGTTGGACATAATGCTTAGAACACCTCCTGGGTTGCCTGCAGCCCACATCAGATCACCTGGATTTGAATCCCAGATCTGTTTCCGCTTTTAGCTTCCTGCTAATACGTACCCTAGGGAGCAGCAGGTGATGTTTCTGCAGCTGAGTCCCCGCCACCCATGTGGGAGACCTGGCTTGAGCTCCGAGAGGGCAGCTTTGGTTTAGCCCTGGCCCCTGTGGCCTTGCGGGAGGGAAGCAGGGGACTGATGCTCTCACTCTCTCTTGCTTGCCTCTTCTCTAGCTCTCAAATAAATATGACACATAAAAACAAAACATTTCAGGATATGTTTAATGGAACTGTCAAGATGCGTAGAGGTCGTGTGTAAGCTCTCAAGCTTTACACAACTGTATAATAGGAAAACTGCTTGGGGCCAGGCTGTTAGCAATAGAGGAGCAGATGAGTGCTGCTGTCAATGGAGGGTGGAAGGTGAGCTCTTGCTAAGCCTGGATGTGTGTGTGGCTTCCCACGGACTCCAGAATGGAGGCAATATTCCTTACTGTGGCCTGCTAGGCCCTGCAAGGTCTGGCTCCTTACTTCACTGGTCTCATCTCGCATAGTTGCTTCTCTCTTCCTCATATAGAACACTGCCTCTTCTCCTTTATTTCCCAGAATGCAATTCCTTTCTTACGATACATAGCATCCGTCTGTGACCTCTGACTAGGCCACATTCCTCTAACTGCATGATCTTATACACCTGGCCAAACCTGTCAGATAGTCACAGTTGCACTTGACATTGATCTGAAGAGTTTTATATGCCTTATCTTGCTCCCTTACCTGTCTGAAAAGGGGTCAGGGAGACATTCCATCTTACCATTTTATCCTTGGCTCCTAGCACAGGGTCAGGCAACTGTCAGGTGCTTCATAAATCATTGTTAAATGGAAGACTAACAATCAGACGGATGAGTGACGAAATGGTTCCTTCCTGAAGACTCTGTTGTGGCAAGAAACATTTGGGTATATGAACCTCATCCCTGCCTGAAACTTGACCCAAAGGCGTTTGAAAGCATTGAGAAGGGGTAGCTAAGAAAGCAGGTCTTGAGAGCAATTTTCTTTCTTACCAGAGAAAGGCAAAATATATTTTGGAGCTTTGTATTCAGCTCAGCTTTGGAGCTTTGACCCCTTTGTACTCAGATGTATTTGGATGTATTTTGTTCTTTAAAAATATATTGATTGATTTTTCATCTTATTTGAAATTCATACACACACACACACACACACACACACACACACACACACCACTCCCCTTGGGTTCACTCCCTAGTTTGCTGCAGTAGCTAGCTCTGAGCCAGGCTGACTCCTGGGGTCTGGAACTCCATCCATGTCTTCTAGATGTGTGGCAGGGACCCAAAATTTTCAGCCATCACCACTGTCTCCCAGAAGCGCTTTAGCAGGCAAACGGGTCAGAAGCAGATGCAGATTTCCAACCACACCCTCCAGTATGGGATGTGAACATTCCACAGCAGTGTCCTCACTGCTGTGCTCCTCTCCCACCCTCCTTGTTTGTCAAGGGCATATGTATATAAGAGCATTCTTTCAGAGAAGGGCGTTTCTGGAGAAACTGTTTTGGGTCAGAAGGTCAGAGTTGATGGAGGCAAAGCTGTGGCTGTGCAGGTCCCACTTCCTCCGGACAGAATGATACCTTCCAAAGCAGGAACTGGCCTGCGGTGCTGTGGCAAATGTGGCTGTTGTTGGGTTGGTGTGTGCAGTCTTGCTGGGGCAGTAAATATCTCATGCTGGTGGTGCTATTTCATGATTCAGCGAGGGGTGTCCTGAGACCTCAGGGCCGAGCTGTCAAGTGCAGCACCAGGCTGGGGAGCGAGGGGTCTGGTCAGTCCTGTGAGGGATGTTGCAGGCCTTTGCATCTGAAGTGACCAATCTGAGGTCAATGGGGATTGATCAATGACAACAGCTGTCCCCCAGAGGGAAATTGCTAGCTGGGTCTGTGATGACTCTTCAAATGACAAATGGTCATTAGAAGAACAACATGGAGGGCCTGGCATGGTAGCCTAAGGTTATTCCTCACCTTGCTTGCACTGGGATCCTACATGGGATCAGCTTAGCTTCAGCCACTGCAGCTGCATGGGGAGTGAATCAATGGACGGAAAATCTTCTTCTCTGTCTCTCCTTCTCTCTATATGTGTGACTTTCAAAGCAAACAAACAAATGAACAAACATACAAAAAACAAAAACAGGGTCTGGCGGCTTGGCCTAGCAGTTAAAGTCCTCACCTTGGGCGCACTGGGGTCCCATATGGGCGCCAGTTCTAATCCCGGCAGCTCCACTTCCCATCCAGCTCCCTGCTTGTGGCCTGGGAAAAAAAAGGCTCAAAGCCTTGGGACCCTACACCCATGTGGGAGACCTGGAAGAAGTTCCTGGATCCTGACTTCGGATCGGCATAGCATTGGCCGTTGTGCTCACTTGGGGAGTGAATCATCGGATGGAAGATCTTCCTCTCTGTCTCTCCTTCTCTCTGTGTATCTGACTTTGCAATAAAAATAAATAAATCTTTAAAAAACAACAACAACAAAAATAACCCCCCAAAAAACAAAGGGTGGATATGCAGGGTGTTGCAGTTGACAGACAGGTTCATGAGCAATGTGAGGCTCCTCCTTTAGTACTTGCAAAAATGCCCGAGGAAGACCCAGGGTGGGGTAGTCAGGAGAGAACCTGCCAGTGCTTGTGGGGCAAGCAAAGGAATGCGATTGCTGCTTTTAGAGACACTTACCTGCAGCCACAGCTTGGGTAGGGCTGCTGAGATTTGAGTTAAAACTGAAGGCATGGGCCTAGCATGGTGGCCTAGCGGCTAAAGTCCTCACCTCAAACATGCCGGAATCTCATATGAATGTCAGTTCTAACCCTGGCAGCCCCGCTTCCCATCCAGCTCCCTGCTTGTGGCCTGGGAAAGCAGTCGAGGACGGCCCAAAGCCTTGGGACCTTGTACCCATTCGTCGGAAACCTGGAAGAGGCTCCTGGCTCCTGGCTTTGGGTTGGTTCAGCTCTGGTCATTGTGGCTGCTTAGGGAGTGAATCTAGGATGGAAGACCTTCTGCTCTATCTTTCCTCCTCTCTTTATATCTGACTTTGTAATAAAAATAAATAAATCTTTTAAAAAAAAACAAACCCAAGAGGTATTTAGGGTGTGGCTATGTTCAGAGGCATCTCTGATGAGCTCAAAATTCCTACCCTATGTGTGAGCATGCTTAGCAGTATGGGAGCACAGCCACTCTAGGACTTTCCTAGATTTAGCAGGAAAGTACCCAGGCCCACAGCCCAGTGCAGTGGCTTAATTGGCTAGTCCTCTTCCTCTAGCAACAGGATCCCATGTGGGCACCTGTTCCTATCCCAGCTGTTTTACCTCTCATCCAGCTCCCTGTTTGTGGCCTGGGGAGGAGTGGCAATGGAGGATGGTCCTGAGACCATGGGACCCTGAATACCTGCGTGGGAGACCTGAAGGAAGCTCCTGGCTCTTGGCTTCAGAATGATTAGTTCTGTCCATTGCAGCGGCTTGGGGAGTGAGCCAGCAGATGGAGGATCTGTCTATCTCTCCTCTCTGTAAAGTCTTTCCAATAATAAATAAGTAAAGCTTTTTTTCATTTTACTTTTTAAAATTCTTATTATAATAAGTAAATAAATTAAAAAAAAAAAAAAAACTAAGAAAAGGAAAGGAAAGGAAAAAAAAAAAAAAAAGGAAAGAAAAGTGATGTGCCCAGGCCCAGGCAAACCAGGAGGGTGGCTCACTCCCTCAGAACATTGTCTTTGAGTAGTAAGAATCCACAAACAGGGTCAGTGTTACGGTGCAGAAGTAAAGCTTTTCTTTGCAACATGAGCATCCCATGTCAGAGTGCTGGTTCGAGTCACAACGACTCTATGTCCAATCCAACTCCTCTCCTGCTTATGTGCTTGGGGAGGCAGCTGCAGATGACAGCCAAAACATCTGAGCCCCTGCCAGTCACATAAGAGACCCAGATGGAGCTCCTGGCCTAGCCCAGCTCTGGCTATTGTGACCATTTGGGGAGTGAATTAGTAAATGGAAGACATCTTTGTCTTCTGTCTCTCCCTCTCTATAAATCTGCCTTTCAAATAAAAAACAAATAACGAAAAAAATCTACAAGTCGGCTAAGATATATGCTCTTTTTTAGATTGTACGTGAGACTGAAATCGCACAGGAGAATTCCCACCTTAGGGTGCTGTTCAAGACCGGCTCTGTGTGTTCCTTAACCAAGGCGCACTTGTCACCTCTACAGTGTCTCTTCACACTTGATTTTTTTTTCCTTTTTTGCTTAATGGATACAATTGTATTACTTCCTTAGTAACAAAAAAAAAATTATCAATGTTATGATTTACAATTTTTATATGAATACAATCTCAAATCCGAAAACTGAGTTTATTAGGTATTCTTTCCCAGTTTTTTATCCCAAGGTCCCAAAGATCATCAAATCATTGACAAAGTGGAAAGTGCCGTAATCACCATCCCTAAAATGAGGCATACGAACACAAAGTGATGAGGGGTGAGAGAGAGGAAGGACTCTATTGACAGTCCTTCGTCCAAGGTTCCCCTGATGGGAATCAGTCCTAAATGACCATGATCCTAGGTCTTGGTGTGAGGTGCAAGAAGCTGTGTGACTCCTCACCTGTGGCACCAGGTAGAGGGGCTGCAGGCCCAGCGATCCAGGCAGAAGGCACATCTTCCTTCCCCACACAGGCCGAGAGGATGAGGAGTAGTCCACCCAGAGCAAGGAAGACTCCAGCCGTCCAGCCCAGGAAAAGGGCATCTCCAAATTCCCACCGAGGCACAATCTCAGGCACACTGTCATCCCAGAAGTCTCGGATAGTTGAGTGAGCCACCCAGGAGACTGGAAAGAGCATGGTGGCTGAAGCTGACACCTCTAAGGTCCCGCCCAGGAGGCAAAACTGCCTCTTATAGACCCATTTCATCCTGTGAAACCGGAAGCACTCGGACCCAGAGGCAGAGAGCAGAAGCCCTAGCAGTCCCAACATGTGGGAGGCCACCACGAGAATGCGCGATACCTGGAGCTCCAGGGGCAGGGCCAGGAAGGATTCAAAGGCCTTGCACACGGTGGCGACTTCCTCCTGGTCCACGCACACCTGCCACAGCCCCAGGGTCCAAGTCTCCATCTGGTTCAGATCCAGGTTGAGAGTCTTCCACTGGGGCAGGGCAGTGCTGACACACGAGCAGACCCAGCCAAGGAGAGAGAGGAGCAGTCCCCCAAGCTGGACTTTGCCATGGAAGCTCCAGGCCATGGCTGCTCTTGCCACCTGCGCAGAGAAAGGAGGAGGAGAGGTGGCGCGGGGACTGCTTTTCAGAGGTTTGCATCAAAGATCTTTCGCATGTGCAGAGGGTGCCTGTGTTAGTCTCCTGGACAACAGCTGAAGCAGGTGCCTGGGATTTAACAGGGTTTGGATTTAGGGGGTGTGTCCAAGATCGGACGTAGGTGTGGATCCAGGGGGAGAGTCCACGAGTGGCAAAAAGCCATATGGTAATCCATCAGTATATCTGAAGAATAATTTATAAGCTTAAAGTAGAAATCACTTTGGCACTAGGATCACAAGAATGATTTTCTGGGCACACACATTGATAGAATCTTTCTGGAGGGCAAAATGACTACTTCATGTTTCATGCCTTTAAATACATGCATGCTTTGACCCCAGTGCCTTATCTCCAGAAATTATCTATGTGTTTGTGACTATATACAATGAAATATCTAATTGAAATATTGTTAGTAAGTTTGGTTAACACTAGGCAACCACTGTAAAGTGATGTTGTAGAAGAAATTCTAATGACACGATTAATTTAGCTATGTTAGATGAGAAAAGCAGAGGACCAAGCAAAGCAGTCTACCGACTGTAACTTCCGGTTGGACGTTTGGGAATGGCAGTTAAGACAGCACCGAGACATCCTACCCCCTGTTAGAGCACCAGGACCTGAGCCCGCTCCACTTCCAACTTCTTCCTGCTTCTGTGCATTGTGGGAGGCAGCAGGCGATGCTCAGGTGCCTGGGTTGCTGCCACCTACATGGGAGACCTGTGTTGAGTTCCTGGTTCTTTGCTTAAGCCTGATGCAGCCCAGGCTCTTAAGGGCATTGGGAAACAAACTAATGGGTGGAAGATCTTTGTCTCTATTTTAGTATGTCTCTGTCACTCTGTCTTTCAAATATTTTTTTTTTTAAAAGAAGAAAATGGAATCCTCTTCTTAAAAAAAAAATGTGTATGTTCCATTTGGAAGATCGGGAGCAGGCGCCTGGTGCCTGGTTCCAGATCTGTTCAGCTCTAGCCATTCCAGCCACTTGGGGAGTGAACCAGTGAATGGAAAATCTTTCTCTCTGTCTCTTCTTCTTCTGTAGATCTGCCTGTCCAATAAAAGTAATCCGCCTTATTGGAAAGGCAGATATACAGAGAGGAGGAGAGACAGAGGTAGAGGAAGATCTTCTGTCTGATAGTTCACTTCCCAAGTGACTGAAACAGCTGGAGCTGAGCCAATCTGAAGCCAGGAGCCAGGAGCATCTTTCGGGTCTCCCACACGAGTGCAGGGTCCCAAGGCTGTGGGCTGTCCTTGACTGCTTTCCCAGGCCACAAGCAGGGAGCTGGATGGGAAGCAGGGCCGCCGAGATTAGAACCAGCGCCCATATGGGATCCCGGCGCGTTCAGGGTGAGGACTTTAACCACTATGCTGTTGCGCAGGGCTCAAAAGTAAATAAATCTTTTAAAAAAGTGCAGATGGAGTACCAAATTCCTGACTTCAGCCCTATCCAACTACAGCCATTGTAATTCTTCTTCTTCTTTTTTAAAATTTATTTCTTTTTATTGGAAAGTCAGATACACTAAGGAGGAGAAACAGGGGAAGATCTTTCGTTTGCTGATTCACTTACCAAGTGGCTGCAACCAACGGCTGGAGCTGAGCCAATCTGAAGCCAGGAGCCAGGAGCATCTTCCGGGTCTCCCACACGAGTGCAGGGTCCCAAGGCTGTGGGCCATCCTTGACTGCTTTCCCAGGCCACAAGCAGGGAGCTGGATGGGAAGTGAAGCAGCCGGGATTAGAATCGGTGTCCATATGGTACCCTAGGGCGTGCAAGGTGAGAATTTAGCCACTAGGCCACTGCACCGTGCCCAAACTTTTAAAGCTTTTAATAAAATCGATTTATAATCTGATAGGAAGAGCTAAGTGTCTTCTTGTAGTCCACGCAGGACTGATGTTTTTCACATCTCTGTAATATATATTCATATACTCATATTACAGAGATGTAATGTAACTTAGGTATAACCTATGTAATAGCACAAAAGCAGTGCAATTAGAGGGCCAGCCTTTTATTTATAAAGAGGTGACGCCATTTCGTTGCACAACTCCAGAGGGCACCATGCACAAGGACGCTGGCTTGCACTTGGGCCAGTGAGAGTGAATATTTAACGAAAAAAATAAATCAGCTTCGGTTCTTTCGTCTTTCTCTTAGATAATCTCACAGCTAAGCGTTTTGAAGCTGAGAAAGACTCAGTCGGAAACGGTTATTAGATGAAAGACATTTCATTTCTTTTCGTGAGAAACCGGCGCGAAACGACTAAGCTGTTTGAAAACAGCTAAGGGCAGAAACGCGTCCCGCAGTTTGCCGACTGCGGGACGCCGTGGCAACCCCGCCCCGGGACGGGCGCAGTGCTTCCTGGGACTTGTAGTGCGGCTCTCGCCTCCCAGCGGCGAACTGAACCCAGAAGGAGACTCCGTTTCCCGGCAGGCCGTGCGCCGAGGCCGCCGGCGGGCCGGGAGCTGCCGCGCTGGCTTCGAGATAGTGCCTTGGTGTGTCTCGACTCCGGTTGTGGCGATGGCCTCGTTCGTGACGGAAGTTTTGGCACACTCGGGGAGCCTGGAGAAGGAGGATCTGGGCACCCGGATCAGCCGTCTGACCCGGCGGGTTGAGGAGATCAAGGTGAGGGCGCGGCAGCCGAGTCGTGGAGAAAGGAGCGAGTGCCGGCAGAGTGGGGCCAGGTGTGGGGTCTGGGGACTGGGGCCGACCGAGGGGCTGGCGGGCAGGTCAGGGGGGCCTGGGTCGGTGGGAGGAAGGGGCTGGACGGTGGGAGGACCGGTGTGGGCTGGGGAGGAGGTGGTCGGGCCGCGGCCGGAGAGCCGGAGCGCGGGGTGGGGAGGATGACGGGCCCCCTCGGGTCTCCGGCTGCGGCGCCTCCGGGGGCTGACGGCCATAGCAGGTGTGCGAGCAGCGCCCGCCTGTCCGCGTCGGGTTTTGATAAGCCCGTCAACGTGTATTTTTGAACTCTGTTCTGCATCCCCAGGCTCCCGACAGTACGGTGAGCGTAAACGTGTCTGTGTAAGGTCCAGGGGCCTTGGTGCCTTGAGATTGGCACTAAAGCCCGAAGCCTGTGTGCTGACGGGATTACCTTGCCGGGGACTTGCTCACTCTTCACTTGATTTCATTTGCAAGTCTGTGTGACCACCTGTGTCTGTATTAAAGAGAGCCAGTTTTCCCAGAAAGCGTAGTACAGAACTTTTTATAGCAACTTTTTGATTCTGCCAAAAAAAAAAGTGGTCTTAACATTTATTTAAACAGGGATGTGTGTAGTTGACAGAGATTACTCCGTACAAGGCCGCAGTGGTTGGGTCTGACGTCAGGAGCTTGGAACTCAGTTGGAGTCTCCTGGGCCTTCCCAAGTGGATGAGTAGGGAGCTGGAGGGGAACCCGAGCAGCTGGGACTCAGAGGGTGCTCCCAGTGCAGGCGGCGACTTCACGGACTGTGCCATAATGTTGGCCCCACAAAAAGTGAGCTTAAAGTTCAGTTTTTATTGACCTGCGAGGCAGAGAGAGCTAGGGAATGAGGAAGCACAAGAGTGCAGCTCCATCCTCTGAGTCTCTCCTGTGGCTTCCCCTGCGGCTGGCAGGAACCCTGCTCCTGCCTTCCAGGAGTTGAAATCAGGAGCTGGAGCTGGGAATCGGACCCGTGCACTCTCATCTTTTTTTTTTTAATTAATTTTATTGCATTATGTGACACAATGTTAAAGGCACTGGGATTCCCCCCACCCCTCCCCGAACCCTCTCCCCATGGTGGATCTCTCCACCTTGCTGTATCACCACAGTTCAAATTCAGTTGAGGTTCTTTCAATGGGAGTATTTACCAAGCATAAAGTCCAGCGTCTTATTATCCTAGTAGGTTGAACGATTTCTTGGTGAGACCATCTCTGATCTGAAGGTAAAGCCGGCAAAGTATCATCCCAATCAATTAGAAGCTCCAACATAACATCAACAACCATTTACAACCTTATAGCATTAATTGACATGGTATTCATTAACAATATGTTAATAAGAAAATGCGGGTTCTTAACTACATCCTGTGACTTCTTCATAGACATTTCAATTTTTAGTTTGTATTCAACCAGATTCCATACACCTCAAAATGGCTATAGATTACTATTCAGCTGTCTCGTCTGTTTTTCTTTTAGTATTTAGCTGTTTATCATCAGTTTAGGTACAGAACGTTTTTTTAGGGTGGGTCCGAGCACTCTCATCTTAACAAGTAGACGAAATGCCTGCTTTCTGACACATCTTGCGGACACACATCCTGCATCTTGTGGACCTCACCTGCCCTTCTTTTTCGCTAGTTTCTTTTACCAACTGAGAATTACTTTCCAACTCCAAGCGGCCACTGTCCCTTTCTTCACTTATGTTGTCATTTTATCAACCATGTCTGTGGTGCTTAACCTTCCTGTCCCCGAGAGGCGAGCTCTTTCCCAGTAGGGTCCCCGGAGGCCTTGTAACTGTTGTTGCAGGGCATTTCAGCCCTGTGTTCTGGTGACTGAACCCTACGGTGGCATTCCTACCTAAAGGAATTTGTGGACAAGCATAATGTATGCTTGTTGTCTGTGTGAAAACATTGAACACTTCAGTGCAGAGTGTCCTTAATTTGTTAATTTATATTAAAGGACATGATGAAATTGAAGTCAATTTAAAGCTTTAAGATTAAGCCTTAAATTTTATAGGAAAGAATATAGAAATTAGTAAATGGAGGTATACAGATTACGGACTTATTTATCCATTTACTTTCATTTCTGTTAAAGATGTGACTAAAGGTGGCAACTACACACTTGGGAGAACTGGCTGCACTTTTTTTGCTTCCAGGAAAACTCTTGGGCACTGTGTGAAATTGGTGGTTGTTGATTTCCTACATCTTATTAATGTTTTTTTTTTTAAGATTTTTTTTTTAAAGATTTATTTATTTATTGCAAAGTCAGATATACAGAGAGGAAG